ATATACTTAAAGTTGTTTCAAAATAATACATTGAATATGCACTTAGTATAGTATAATTTAAATATAGTAAGTATGTCTGAAAAAGCACAATTTAAATATATTTCTTTTTTACCTGGGTGTGCTACCTACTGTTTCAATGGGAGGTAGCAAAATCTGACAGGGTAGCACAAATCGTCAGAACACTGGTTTAGCGCCGCTTATTATTAAAGTTGTTTCCCTACTATGTCATGTGTGAATCAGTGGGCGGGGCTACAGAACTAGGCGTTGATGTTCTGCTGTGGAGGCGGTGTTTAACCTAGATTTCTGGGAATCTGGCATTCGCTGGGCCTGGTGTCTATAAAAGCTTTTATTTCAGTAACAAGGACGTTTTCAGTTCTAAAACTTACTGGATATTCTTTTAGTATGATGACCTCTTATATATCAAAAGCTCAAGTAAAAGTTGATTTCTCAATTCGTGACCCCTAAAGCAATTTATTGTTGTTGTTGTTGTAAACAAATGGTATTACCAAAATGTCTTCTAATTCTAATTAAATTGCACAAAACAAATGTACAAAGACATTATTGTAACCCAGGGGTTTTCAAACTGGGGTCCGTGACCCACCAGGGTCTGCAAGATAATTTGCTTTCCACACTACAAGTCGCATTTTTTTTATCTTCTGAAACGTGCTATATGATTTAAATTCAAAAGTGACTTATAATGCATTTAATGTCAAATGAGCAAAACGTAAACACTTAAGAGCAGGCACTTCAAGGTTTCTACATGAATGAACATCCGGGGGCATGTTGAAAGATACACTACAACTTACTGAATGTGTCTCATGTAATCACTAAGAGTTTTTTAACCGTGGCAAGATAGCAGCTTGAAAATATTACTCTTTTTTTTATTATAATATGAACTTGTATACACATCAGTTGTTATACTTCTAACCTTAACAAGGGTTCCCTGTACAGTTTAGTTTAGTTTAGAAAAATTGAGAAAAAAATAACATGTAGGGCCTACTTAATCGCAAGCTTGTTAATTATTCCTGAATAATTCTCACTCCAGGCTGAACTCAAAAGTTGGCAGCCCTGTTTGAAGTAAGTTGAGGTTTTAGGTTTCCTGATCAACATTTAGCCTACAAAATTCACTGTATAAGTTAATGTTAGATTTTTTTTGCTCCAACCTCTGGTTAATCAGATGATAGAAATAAGAGAAATAAGTTTCATTAGACTAACATTTGAAGTCACGGTAGGAATGTATAGCTAATGTGGGGTAATGTTAAGTAATCAGCAATCGTAGGATTTATTCATGCTTTTTTTATGCCAGGTTGGAGTATACACTGATTTTCTGTCATGGTCTATGGAACCCTTGAATTAGCCTTGGCCACCCCATGTATAAAACTAGCTCCGCTACTGAGGTTAGGTTGTGGAGGTCAGCATGAGCATCGCCATGCTGTGGTGTTTTTCGCCAAGATGGCGACGGCCGCCTCCGCCCACTTTTGAGCTTCAAAATCGCTCTTCGGAAATCTACGGGCGACGTCACGGACACTACGTCCATGTTTTTATACAGTCTATGTTCCAAACACATTTTTTGTGAAGGTTGTTTTAAGTAGATATTCGGACACAAGAGTAAAAAGTACAAAGCCTTTATTTAGACATATGTATACATTTTTGTTCTGTTTTAAATGCCACTAAATTTAAATGATTTAGAGTGAGGGGAAGTATGTTTATAGTGTTTTTAAATGTTTGTTAGATTTCTTAACGGTCGTTTTATTTATCTTTTTTATTTAGTAAAAGGTGACTAATACACTCAAACTTGTTTTTTTGTTTCTTTGGTGTTTTTTTCCTGACCTGGTGCAACTTTCCGAAAAATATTGTAAATTTAATTAAAATGACTTTATTTCTTCTGTGAAACATAACATATTTTGAGAAATGGCATTGCGTTAGCAGCGCAAAAGGTCGTGGGTTCGATTTCTCTGGGAACACTTATACTGGTAAACAATGTATAGCCTGAATGCACTGTAAGTCGCTGCATCTGCTAAATGCATAAATTAAATTTATAACGCCATGAGGGTAGCCTAAGTAAATTATGAAAGAATTTCCATTTTGGGTTGAACTATCCCTTTAAGCTATAGCAATAAAGCAATCCTTCCTGTTCCTATAGAGCCCTTTTCCTGCAGAGTTTAGTTCCGTAACTGTAATTAAATGCAACTGAATCAACTTGCATGGTCACAAGTTTACCTGAAAATTACAGCCAGGTGTGGAACTAAACTCTGCAGGAAGTCGACTATTCAGTATGAATGAGTAACCGTGAACTACAGGAAACAGACTGAAATTTTAATTAGTCTCATAATAAACCTAATCCTTTTATAAATAGCACATACAGATGCTTATCTGCACATACAGATTTAACTTTAGAGCCAATATATTGTATTAAATTAAATTGTATTCATTAAAAAATATTCTTTATCCAGAGTCCATTTTTCTTGCTGAAAAGGATTATATTACTAACATGTTGCTACAACACATATTACTAACAAATTAAAAGATCCAACATAAATATAGCAAATTTTCATTCTGGGTTTCAGTCAATATTCACTTCAGTTACAAAGACACTATCAAAAGGATGTAGATCAACTCGATATACTTCAGTCTTTACTATGGCCTAGCAGCTGAATCCTTTCTAATTAATGTTTTATTTAATTAATGTCCATGTATATACAGTGGGTACGGAAAGTATTCAGACCCCCTTAAATTTTTCACTCTTTGTTATATTGCAGCCATTTGCTAAAATCATTTAAGTTAATTTTTTTTCCTCATTAATGTACACACAGCAGAAGGAGTGGCTTCACAACGACTCTGTGACTGTTCTTGAATGGCCCAGCCAGATCCCTGACTTAAACCCAATTGAGCATCTCTGGAGAGACCTAAAAATGGCTGTCCACCAACGTTTACCATCCAACCTGATAGAACTGGAGAGGATCTGCAAGGAGGAATGGCAGAGGATTCCCAAATCCAGGTGTGAAAAACTTGTTGGATCTTTCCCAAAAAGACTCATGGCTGTATTAGATCAAGAGGGTGCTTCTACTAAATACTGAGCATTTTTCAGTTTTTCTTTTTTAATAAATCTGCAAAGATGTCAACAATTCTGTGTTTTTCTGTCAATATGGGGTGCTGTGTGTACATTAATTAGGAAAAAAAATTAACTTAAATGATTTTAGCAAATGGCTGCAATATAACAAAGAGTGAAAAATTTAAGGGGGTCTGAATACTTTCCGTACCCACTGTATATACACACACACACACACACACACTTGCTTCTTATCTTGCCAGTATGTTCCAGAGGACAAGATAGTGTTCTTGGGGGGCCTCATATACCCATATGCAGCAGTTATGACAACTTCCTGTGTTCTTCTCACTGACTGTTCCCAGGGTTGCCAAGAGACATTGTTTAATGAGCCTCTGTGTTGCAGATTGTGCTCTGAATTAATTAAATTTCCGCTGTTTTGAGACGTTGCACCCATCACGTAGTCTGATCACACATTCAGAATGTCTAGGACAGAGGTGAAGGAAGCTCGCAGATACTTTGTGTGAACCTGGGGAGACACAAAATGCTGTGGATCCTTATTTTCCTACATTGCGAAGGTCAGTATTTTTATTTATTACAGTTTTTAAACAGAGAATATTTCTTCAACATCAGGCATGTGTTTAAAAGCTTGACTTTTATTTTTTATTTTTTTAATTAACAAACTTAAAAATTTTCGTTTTATATAAAGATCATATTAAAGCTACATTGGAAACTTTTCCAATGTTTTTAACATTTATTTTGCTGTTTTTCAAATGCCCTTTATGTATTGATTTTATTGTTTTACACTTGTCCTAAAGCCAGACGTTCAATCTTAAAATATAATAAAAATCCATTATAAAATGCATGACTAAAACTATTGTAATCTAAAGACTGAAATAAATCAAAATAATTCTAATATTTATTGCATTAAAAAAAAAAATTATGACTGTCCCACAGTCGTATGTATAGCATCATTTGCACAACACAGTACAATTTTGCCACCAAAAAAGTTTTTTTTTAAAAGTTGGTAGGCTTTTAGTAAAGTACTTTTGTTTTGCATCATTTACAATTAAGTTATTATAAAATATTGTTTAATTATGATACATAAAATGCTAGCTTTGAAATAACCCTTTTTTCATTCATTTTATAACAAAAATAATTTTTACTGTCATTTGCTGAATAAAAATAAGCTAGTTAAAGCTGGTTAAAACGTAAAAGGTATAAAAACCAATTACAAACTAATTAAATTAGTAAGAGTTGTTTTTATTTCCTAAGTCTGTAGTTGAAGAAATATCCTGTTATAAAATCACTGTTTTCATATATTACAGCATGCATTATGAATTGCTCTTTGGATTTGCTTTACATTGGTTAAAACCATTACCATTAGAGTTCTCTACATTATCATTTTACTTAAAAAGGTTCGTTAAACCAAGTTTTTCATCATTATAAACCTCTGACAATGGCAAGAGCAAATTTGGGGGTATTATTTGTCCGCTATCACCATTCCTATACTTTGTACCTTATTGCTGTTTCTGTTCTCTGCGCAGTGTTTCTATGACCCTTTGACCATCTGTGAGGTACAGACTAATGGACAAGTTAAACTACCAGCTCCTCTTGTCAGTCTACATCCTCACCTTCCTGATCGGCCTTCCCGCCAACATCCTAGCGTTCTTTACCTTCTGTCGAAAGGTTTACCGCAAGCCCACCCCCATTGACATTCTCCTGCTAAACCTGACAATATCTGACCTCATCTTCCTGGCAGTCTTGCCATTCAAGATGAAGGAGGCCACTGACAACTTGAACTGGAGCCTGCCATATTACCTGTGCCCCATTAGCAGTTTCCTTTTCTTCTCCACCATCTACACCAGCACGTTATTTCTGACTGCGATCAGCATAGAGCGCTATCTAGGTGTTACGTTTCCGATCCGATATGCTCTAGGTCGCCGACCACGCAACGCTGTAATTGCAAGTTGCTTCCTCTGGCTTCTGGGATCTCTTAACCTCAGCATCGTGTACATTGTGCCATACATACCCTCAAATGATAATTCAAGCAGCAGCAAGCTACAACCCAATCCTCACGTGACAATTTGCTACGATTTATTCACCAAAGAGCAGCTGAACATTCTACTTCCTGTTCGTCTGGAGCTTTTTCTCGTACTTTTCTGTATACCCCTCCTCATCTGCTGCTTTTGCTACATAAACTTCATACGAATCCTCTCCAATCTGCCTCATCTCGGACGCCGCCGTAGACTCAGGGCCATTGGGTTGGCGTTGGGGACGCTGTTGGTTTTCACTATCTGTTTCAGCCCCTATAACGTCTCGCACGTGGTTGGTTTCGTCCACGGTGATAACGAATGGTGGCGTCACTTTGCTTTGATCTCCAGCACTCTGAACGCCTGTTTGGACCCAATCATCTTTTACTTTTCTTCGGCTGCCGTTCGCAGCGCCATACACGCATGTGTTAATGGTTTAAAGGAGAAAATGCACATCATAAAATGCAGACGATGCTGTTCTGCTGGCCCTTCCAAAACTGAGGCCTACAAAGAGACAAATCCACCTCTTGACTTGGGGTGAGAATTGAGCTACAGAGTATTTGAGTTCATTTAGGCCTACAGAAAGAAGTGTTGTTTGCAAGTGCCGTGGAGTTTACTTTCTGAGAGGTAAAATAAAATCAAAAAATTGAAATGTGAAATTGCACATTTTATTCAGAAAGGTTTTGCATTTTTATGATCATTTGGATTAAACTTGAATTTAAAAATAGTTATTCACGAGAAATAAAGATATATAATTAATGAATAAATTGCACCTGTGTTGATTTCCTGCAAGTGTTTACACTGTCTAGATATACAAAGAGAAGTACATACTGTAAAATGTAAAGTAATTATTATCACATTATGTTATTAGTCCTCATAAAGTGAGTTTCTCTATGGTAAAAGCTGTAAGCACAGCACATCTGACATTAAAAGAGCAGCTGATAACCACAGTTTACACAGTGTATTCAGCCTTAGGCTCTTCTTTAATGATCACACAATATTTTGTATGTACAGGCCATTTGCTGATAACAAATGTCTAATCAATAATACTGATAACACAGACTGTTTAATTTTATTTTCTTACTGTTATTGCAGCTTGTTTTTATTATTTTATGTTATCACCCCTCTCATGTAATGCATTTCAGTGACCACTCACAAAAAGACAAAAACACAATAAAGTCAATAAATCATATTTAGTAGCATATTTAATATAAAATTATAAAAAACATAAATATGATATAAAATCATAAATAATAAAATAGATAAATCAAATAAAATAGATATTATAAAAATAATTAAGAAACTTTATATATATATATATATATATATATATATATATTTGGAGGCTTCTCTTTGGGTGAAACTTCAAGGGTTGCTGCGTGTCAAGCTCCCATACCCCAAAAGCCTCTCTCAAAAAGAGCCCCCAATTTATTTATATTTATATGTTATTCACACATCAGCATGAGTCAATGAGAGTGTCCTCCAAGGTTCTGGTTCTTCAAACTGGCGAGGTAACTTGGAATAGAGTGCCTCTTTTCCCCTCATTGCTCATTATTTTCTTAGCACAAAATACAAGGTTTTCTTGTTCTCTCTTTACAACTTTTTCGGGAACTTCATTGCTCTGATATTTCCATGAACCTCCTGTTACCATGGTATGATAGTCACAAAACTCACTCCATGATTTATAATACAGCATCAAAAGAATGTTGTGGAAAAACATGCTAGGATACCTAATAACTTCTGAGAACAAAACAGCACATACTGCAATGGCATCTTGAGGGGTCAGTACATAAGATTCAACTTTGTCATTGTTCCCCACCATGTAGTTCCAAATTGTCTGAGAACATTTTTTAGCATTTTTTTTTTGATAGCTTCAGTGTTGCATAAGAAAGATTTTTGTCGTGAAGATGTATGTACAACTGTACAACAGTAGAAATTACTTGCTTGCAACCGTAATGAGAATCTACCAACTAAAAAGATGATTTCCTGTTTGCACCAAAATCCGCAGAGATAAGTGCAGAGATGCGTCTCAATATAAAGCATACTTCGGGGTATTCACTGACACAATGTAGCTGGCAAGTTGCTAGAAATTCTCCAATATTCATGATTTCTGCAAAGGTTCCCACTCCAAATGAAATAATGAATAATGGCCTTATTTCGAAGATCTAACTTTGACTGGTGAGTCTGTCGTCATCCAGCACAAATCCATTGCAGCATGGGCTACTGACACATTGACATACAGGAGTATTGTCCTTTTAAGGTCGTACCAAAGGTTGATACACTTACTGTCACAATATTTTTCCTGCGTGTAGACACGTCTTTGGCTCGTTTTTATCGATTGCACTATGTAACCGCCGCGTCCACTGAAGTCCAATTCAAGTCCACAGAGAAAAGACATTGTGAAAATGAAGGGTTTTATTTTATTATTATATTTCTTTTTCACATTCTCATTTTTAGAAGACTAATCTAATAGTGTTAGACATAACATATCCACCCTTGTATCAATTTATACTGGACATGACCATTTTTGTTTATTTTTGAAAATAGTTTTGACATATCTATTAAAATTCTTCCTAAATATTAATCTTCTACTAATTGAGAGTGCTTATTTTGTCAAAAAAAAAGTTCAATTTTAAAGTTCCTTGACTTCCTATATACTTCCTCACGAGATAACAGATACATCGGGCTACTGAGTATGTACTGTAACTGAATATTAAACCATTAAATTCCAGTTAACATCTATTTTAAAATGCTATCCTACCTTCAAACACTTTTATTTAAAAATATATATTTTAAATCCAAATAATATTTAGGTAATAATGACCTAATAATGTTAATAAACATGTTCATCGAGTGCACTGGGCAGCGACTAAATCTTTGTCTCCAAACAATATTTTCCCAGAAAATACTTCAGTACACAGAGGAAAAGAAAAGATGATCAGTTGTCTCTATTTTACTGTCACTGATGATTTTCATACTGTACTGTATCCAGAAGTCTATTGCAGAATCATGCATTTTACATCCCGACTTGTTTCCAGGATTCATAACAAAATCGATAAGTCGAAACTTACACAGGATATACTGAAAACGGGATTTCTAAGAAGTATGCTTTAGAATGAAATGAAATGCTTAAGTTTCCCTTTCTCGAGAAACGAAACTTAGCCCTACAGGAAGAAATTTAAGGAAGTCCTCGCTCTTTGAGCAGAGGAACGAGAACGCGCCCCAGTGTATTTTAACACATATATTTTTTGGTCGTGATTTTGACTTAATAGTTTTATTCCTTGGTTTGTATAAACGCAATATTAACTTTTTTGACCAGGGACTCACTCAAGCGGATCCCCGCAGTCTCCAGTAAACTGGTAGGGTTAGATATTTTATGATAAGGGAAATAATAGAATGATGTTCAACAGATTAAGTGGTTAGTGGATTTTTTTTTTCGTGAGAAAGTACAGTGAAAATCACAAGTGATTAAAAAGTGGTATACAAATCAACACGATGATAAACTTCCACAGAAAACACCTCCAATATGATTCTCCACCCTGTTACATTTTAACAATGCAATGTAACGGTGGATACTTTAAGCTATTAGAGAGGACACTTCTAAAAATAAGGAAAACAAATGTTTAAGACTGATAGTTGCTCTCCCTTCAAGAAAATGATGAAATCTCTATCAAGTCATGTGATTTAGGGCGTATGCTTATGATTTTAAAGGGCAAGTGGCACCACAGTAACAGGGTGGACTAGGGGCGCCGCTATGGTTTTTTGGCCCTCTGAACAGCATATTGACTCTGGAATGCATTTTCTACCGAGAGGGGGTAGAAATAGTGTTCCGGGGGGGCTTCCCCCTCAACATAAATCTCGTTCGGGCCCCCTCACCCTTGTCAGGCCCTTGGAATCATCCTAACCGTTACGGCGCCCCTGGGGTGGACTGAAGTTTGAGAGATATAAACTAGTTTAATGGTTTTACACAAAATATGTATTACAATCAAATTGAAGTTGAGAAATCCATTTTGGACAAGGGACTTTGTCATGTGCCTTCAAAAATGATTCTTAGGTACAAATCATTATGAATTTCTGTTAATGGGGTACATCTATGCATGGAAAAAAATGTGGCATTAAAGTTGATTAACATTTTATGTAAAATTGTTTCATGGGGACATAAAATAAAACAAACTATAGGAATGACCCAATAATAATGCATTTAAAAATAGCTGCCAGTGGACTAATGGTCAGGGCCGTGCACAGGGGGGTGGCCGGGTGGCTAGAGCCACTGCCCCTTTGCTTTCATCAGCTGAGTTGCCGCTGATTCCGGTAATCCGCTCCGTGTTTTCCCGCCCGCTCCGCAGCATTTCTCAAGATCCGTGTGCTAAATGCTTAAGTTTCCCTTTCTCGAGAAACGAAACTTAGCCCTACAGGAAGAAATTTAAGGAAGTCCTCGCTCTTTGAGCAGAGGAACGAGAACGCGCCCCAGTGTATTTTAACACATATATTTTTTGGTCGTGATTTTGACTTAATAGTTTTATTCCTTGGTTTGTATAAACGCAATATTAACTTTTTTGACCAGGGACTCACTCAAGCGGATCCCCGCAGTCTCCAGTAAACTGGTAGGGTTAGATATTTTATGATAAGGGAAATAATAGAATGATGTTCAACAGATTAAGTGGTTAGTGGATTTTTTTTTTCGTGAGAAAGTACAGTGAAAATCACAAGTGATTAAAAAGTGGTATACAAATCAACACGATGATAAACTTCCACAGAAAACACCTCCAATATGATTCTCCACCCTGTTACATTTTAACAATGCAATGTAACAGGGTGGATATTTTAAGCTATTAGAGAGGACACTTCTAAAAATAAGGAAAACAAATGTTTAAGACTGATAGTTGCTCTCCCTTCAAGAAAATGATGAAATCTCTATCAAGTCATGTGATTTAGGGCTTATGCTTATGATTTTAAAGGGCAAGTGACACCACAGTAACAGGGTGGACTAGGGGTGCCGCTATGGTTTTTTGGCCCTCTGAACAGCATATTGACTCTGGAATGCATTTTCTACCGAGAGGGGGTAGAAATAGTGTTCCGGGGGGGCTTCCCCCTCAACATAAATCTCGTTCGGGCCCCCTCACCCTTGTCAGGCCCTTGGAATCATCCTAATCGTTACGGCGCCCCTGGGGTGGACTGAAGTTTGAGAGATATAAACTAGTTTAATGGTTTTACACAAAATATGTATTACAATCAAATTGAAGTTGAGAAATCCATTTTGGACAAGGGACTTTGTCATGTGCCTTCAAAAATGATTCTTAGGTACAAATCATTATGAATTTCTGTTAATGGGGTACATCTATGCATGGAAAAAAATGTGGCATTAAAGTTGATTAACATTTTATGTAAAGTTGTATGGTCAGGGTCGTGCACAGGGGGGTGGCCTGGTGGCTAGAGCCACTGCCCCTTTGCTCTCATCAGCTGAGTTGCCGCTGATTCCGGTAATCCGCTCCGTGTTTTCCCGCCCGCTCCGCAGCATTTCTCAAGATCCGTGTGCTGCTCTCTGGAGTGGAGACCACAGTTCCCAAAGTCTTTGTTTCTTTCAAAGAAAAATAACTACATATTGT